CGTACCCCCCGTCCTGGTCGTTCTCGCGCGCCACCCCGGTCGGTACCATGTAGCGGTTCTCATTCGCTTGCTCACCTGTCATTCAATACAGCTGTGGACAAGTATGACCTGTCGAGTATCGATGTTCTGTTTTCCGGCGCCGCTCCACTGGGACATTCTCTCGTTAAAGCTGTATGCTTTTCGGCCCACTGTGGTGTTCGTTAAACTAAATTCGCCCAGGTCAAAGAAAGGCTCCTCGCCAACCGCGGTGGACGGGGGGATGTAGGAATCACCCAGGGTTTAGTACCCTCTGTGTCGAGGGATTTTCCTTGCTGACCATTCGTAGGGTATGGCCTCACCGAGACCTCTCCCACGACGCACTTGCTGCCTGTAGCCGACGCCGACCGGAAGATGGGCAGCATCGGCATATTATTGCCGAGTCTGGAGGCGCGCCTGGTGGACGACGACGAGGGCAAAGTTGATGCTGCCGCCGGTGAACCGGGTGAGCTGTGGATACGCGGAAAGACAGTGATGAAGGTTGATATACCGTCATATCCTATCGACAATTCATTCATGCCTTCGCCAGGGATACTTGAATAATCCGTCGGCGACTAAGAACGCCATTACTCCAGACGGGTGGTTCAAGACTGGGGACGTGGCTATCCGGGACAAGGACGGGTTTTATTATATTGTCGATAGGCGCAAGGAACTCATTAAATATAAGGTGAGCGGACTTGACCGCCGCACGCTCTCTCCTGACAATTATTTCTGCGGTAGGGCTTCCAAGGTATAACAATCCTTGTTGTAACTCACGGGAGGCTTACTCAACCGTTGTAGTCCCCCCAGCAGAGCTCGAGAGCGTGCTATTAACGCACCCTGATATTGCGGATGCAGCGGTCATTGGGCTCGAGAGCGTCGTAGAGGCGACGGAGCTGCCGCGGTTGGTCTCTGCTTTGACCTGCAAGTGCTGAACTCTGACCCCAAAACCAGAGCGTACATTGTCCATGCCAACCCGGAGAAAATCAAGACCGCCCAGGCCAAACTCGAGTTTGGAACCAGTGTCGTCAAGTGGATGGCGACCAAAGTTGCCAGACACAAGTTACTGCGCGGCGGGGTCGGTGTCATCGACATTATTCCGAAGAGGTAGGCGGCTTCCTTTCGCAAGACGTGACGGGTTTTGAAAGTGCTACAGCGCGGCTGGTAAGATCCTGCGACGTGAACTCCGGGAACGAGCTAAACAAGAGGAAGCAAGAGGAGAATTGGGGATTCAAGTTGAAGCTAAGCTATAATTTTTTATACGGCTAGTGTACAGGACTTCTGTATAATGCGGGCTCTATGTGTGGGAACGGAAGACAAACTTACTATGCGTCCACATTCACAACCAACCCCACACGACAGGACTCAAGTGCAATGGTCACAGCAAGGACGATAAGACCTGAAATTTTGGTCAGCGTCGTGAACGGCAAAGCAAGCAGTAGAAAGAAGAGTCCCGGTCAGAGTGTCAAAAGGTTTGGAGCACGCCCCACATGGGTATTCACCATGAAGAAATTCAAAAAAGATCCAACGCATCATCGGGGAAGAGAGAATGGATCAGAAAGCTCACCTTCAAAACCATCCACCGCATCCAACGAAGAACATCAAAGTTCAGGGATGAAAAAAATTGGGACCGCGCCGAGAGAGAGTGAGCCCCATTGAGTTGAGGACCCAAGAAGGGTCAACAATCGTATAACTATGTCTATGAGCAACAAAGTGCCCGACGTTGAGCAAACCACCCGAGCGACAGGATGCTCGTATCTTCGCAACCTGGGCCTTGACCGAGTAGCTCACCCGCCGAGGGGCAGCGGAGTGGCAGGGAGGGAGTATGGACCAGCTATTAGCAGGCCATGCAGAACCAACCCGCCGTCCTCGACCAGACCGACGTGCTTGGGGCCGGTTGCTTTCCATTGGAGGACGAGGACACGCTCCGCATCTCCGGGGACTTTCCCCACAGCAAAGGGCGAGAGCAAAACTCTCTGTGCGGGAGCTGCGAAAACGATTCTTCAGACGGCGCGGGATGAGAGAAGAGAAAGAAAAGTTGGCCGCTTTTATGGCATGCCGGCCAGAGTTTGGCTCTGTTAGAATCTCTGGCTCCCGGCCACTTCCCCCACGTTCCGCTTCGCCAACTTGTCGCCAACCGCATTTCCTTGGGACGCGCGTTCATGTCGACGACACGGTCCCAGACACAGCAGCCCCAGCGGACGGCAAGTGGCCCGTCTTTGTGTGCTGTCTCGCTTGCTGACCGCGTCGCAGGTCATATTCTCCAGCCTCCCCACCATCAAGGTCATCGAGCCTCCGAAAGGTATCCTAATACCTCCCTGCTCTGGCCATCTCTCGACCGCATTTAACAGGAATACACTCCACGCGAAATGACCAATGGTGTTTAACGTATTGCTCTCAAAACGTTAGTGGGCGAATCAACCGGCAATATCCCTTCTGTCGATCCGTATGCCTTCGCAAAGTCTTCACTCATGAAGTGCGGAACATCATACAATTCAAGAGTCACAGAGAGATTGGCCCCGACGGCAAGGCCCGCTATCCACTCCCGCGAGAGGGTCAGCCGATAAATCTCCCCCGATATCTCGGTGGGAAGCCGACAGATGACCCTGAACATGGCCGCAAGTCGCCTGCGGACACCAAATATTGGGACGAGGGGTGGTATCTCTGGAAGACCAACAACTTCCTGGGCGTGTACGCGAGTATCTCCAACATGCAGAACAACCTCGTGGACCAGGCCAGGCTTGAGTCGCAGAGGCAGCAGAAGCGACAGTTGTGGCAAGAGTACCAGAACTTTCGCCGCACGGGCCAACCTCCAACGTTGGAGAATAAATGGCTGGGCCCCATCATTCCTCCGAACATAGGGCCAGACGCAGCGTCCGTTTGCCAAGTTTCTACGGTATCACTGTATGCTCACCATTCAACAGACTAGAATCCCTTTTGGTGCCGCTCCCGCTCGATTCTGGTCCGCTGCTAGAACCCATCTACCAGGTTCTTGCCCCCGCCCAACACTCTTTACAGCTTTTCCGCGAAAACTTGGCGGCGGGCAATTACCAGAAATTTGGACTGCGAGTTTGGGACAAGGCCCTTAGCGGGGAACCCCTCATTCTTGCGAGCCGCGCGTGCAGCTTTGTTTACGAGCAGTGGAAGAACAAGGACAAGGACGACGATAACGACAAGGAGAAGGAGCCGTAGGGCGTAACTGCGCTGGTTCAACTTGTATATCCTTCCGCTCAATGTATCCATACTCTGCACATACCTTAGACCTTACCGTGGAATAATTTGCCCTTGATGAACTTGTTCTCGAAGTGACCAGATTCAGTCAGCAGCGGAACGTGAGCTAACGTGACGAGCTTGGTAAGATTGCACATCTTCCTCTTATAATGCCGCGTCTCTTTCGTTCTACTCATCTCCTACCATGGCCAGCAATTCTCCAATCGAAGTCCAGAGTGTAAAGCAATGGAACGAAGTCTTGCGGGATTCGACAAATTTGGGCATGACTGTCCTCGTCGATTTTCACGCTACCTGGTGCCAGCCATGCAAGGTAACTTCGTCAACTGTGCTGAGACTCTGAAGCTCATTCAGCCAGGTCATCGCTCCTCGATACAGCCAGCTAGCGGTCGATAATTCACATGTTCGTTTCCTTCGTGTCGACGTGGACAAGCAAAAGGCCATCGCCACAAAATACAAAGTTACGGCCATGCCGACGTTTCTAGCCATCAAGGCTGGCTCCGTGGTCGATATGGTAGGTTGACGTCGTCTGGTATGTCCTGCGCCCGAACTGACGATACCAGGTACGCGGAGCTGACCCGCAAGGTCTCAGCCGGCTAGTCATGCAGCACGGCGGCCCCAACCCTCCAGTTGCCCCACTCCCTGCGGACGCAGAGGCGGCGAAAATCGCTGGAAATGTACGCCGCACCTTGACTATGAACTCCCTAGTTGCATACTTATCATCTGTGTTAGGCATTATACAAAGAAGGCAAATACCCCGAGGCGATCGAGAAATACACTGCCGCAATCGAGTTGGCGCCGAATTCCGCTGCGCTCTACGGCAACCGCTCTATCGCATATCTCAAATCCACGCCGCCCGACCTTGACCTCGCCCTTGCCGATGCCCAGAAAGCGACCGAGGTCGAACCGAAATGGGGCAAGGGCTTTGCCAGACTCGGGGAAGCCCTGCAGGCTCAAGGGAAGGACGAGGACTGTGTGAAGGCGTTTGCGCAAGCGGTGGAACTTTCGCAGGGTCTGCCCAAGACCGAGGCAAAGCAGAAACTTGAGGCGGCGAAGAAGAGGCTGGGTTGGCATTAGACGGTTTGGTTCCGACATTCTGGTGTATCTATAGTGTAAGTGTATAGTAGGGCAATGTCGATGCGTTCGCGGTTTCGCTAATGATCATGAGCAGGGAATATATACTAGTTTGTGCGGCCGTTGGACTTTAATTCGTGCTGGTGCCGCAGCTTGGAAAATGAGTAACCGGCGGTGGAACTATACGAAAGAGCTTTATTAAAGCAGTATGGCCTTCTGAAATGAACTGAAGCAGAATTCAGGGACTGTCCCAACACACTGCGCAAGGGCTTGGTTGAAGCAAGGTCAGCCATCAACGGATCACTGATGTTCCATTTTGGGCCACTACGCCCACCAGCCGAATCGGGAAGGAGTCGCGTTTCGTGAATACACTGCATCCTAAGGAGCACCAAAAAATTCCGAAGCGTCAAGGGAGTGTATACAAGTGACATGACAGCGGGGTAGACCGTAAATGGATCAGAAACGTTTGTTTTCGCGCTTTGACTGATTTGCCATCAAATCTCCCAATTAATTCCTGGGGCCGCAGCACAAGCCCCGGGCCAGGTTTCGAGGGATATCAGACGTTCAGAGGGTCTGCCCCGTCGATCTGGGGGTACTCAATGGTCGACATTCGTCCGTGTTCGACGAATTTATGCCCTCCAGCCAAAATTGAGCTCTAACCTTCTACAACCTTCCTGCGTCATGGTTGAATGGCCGAGTGGTCTAAGGCGCTGGAATTAGGTTCCTTCTATCCAGTCCGCAAGGGCGTGGGTTCGAACCCCACTTCAATCATTTGCTTTTGAATTTCCAAGGAAATCCATGTTTTTTGAGTTCCTAGAGGTCCCAAACACCCCCACCATCAGCCCAGCTGATGAAAACTGCTAAAATGCACTAAGGCCGAAAGGGGGTGCGACTTAGAAATGCCAGGAATTGTCCAGACGGTCAATATTTGCCATTTACGCCACTTCTTTTATTTTCGCCAATACATTCGTCCCCGTGCTTTCTCCCACTTCCTTGGCTTCAAGGTCGTCATGAATGTACTCTTAGGTCGTGCCCCCACTCCCAGAAGGGTCCCACCATCATTTTGTACCCCGGTAACGATTATTTGTACCACTTCCTCTCATGGTGGGCAAACCAACACCGAGACTCAACCAGAAGATACATGTGCCTTCCAGAACAACCTCCAACGAGTCATCAACATAAGGCGGAACTCAGTCAAGGCCCTTACTTCGGGAGACATGCACAGTTCAAGTCCGGAAACACTCGACATGAATTACCGTGGAAAAACTTTACAACCTCGTCGAGTAGGTGTAATAGATACAAAGTCTTGAGTGGGGACCGGATGTCGTGAGCAAAATAGATCATGATTTTGCAACACTAACTCCACAGGCCTCTAAACGCTACTGGTTAACCTCAAACGTAGCTGACCGTGACTCCACTAGAGCTGGTCGAGACCGAGGTGAGCACCTGACCATTCTGCTCAATGTCAATGAGCACAGCGCCGGTGGGACCAACTGTTCCTCCGGACGCGAGCGTGGCGACGGCGTTAGTAAAGGTCACTGTCTTGAAGTTTGCAAACTAAAAGTGTTTTTAGTATCTTTCAGTATAAGCTATTTCCAAGACTCACCGGAACAAGCGAGTTGCCTTCCTCAAAGTCCTCCACGATCCACTCAGCATTCTCCTGGCAAAGTCTCGCCGAAGAGGTGAGCGACCTGGAAACGGTCTATGCCGACCATCAGAACAATTCGGTGGATTCGAAAGTAAACACATACAACACCGGTGGAGACGTTCTCAATTGTGACAGTCCCCGCAGTCGCGCTTGCAACGGTGGCGGTAAGCTTGATGGTGTTACCAGCCGCAATCTAGACTACGTGCGATCTTCTCTGGGTCAAAGAACGGAGAGGAATACGTGCGGGAATGCCAGTGAAATCTAGATGACATTAAAATAAACAAATGGTTGCTACGAGACAGCGCAAATATACATACCAGTCGCGAAAGCCGGGAAGTACTCGTACCAGGCTGTTGCGTGGTTATTTCAGCTTCGCCGAATGTTTTATCAGGATGAACTTGCCATCGTACGAAACGCGGCCGTTGGTAACCGTGAAATCGATGCCGGTTTGCAGGATCGCGCTTCCACATGTGTCGCCATCGATGCCCACCCAGGCTGAGGCGGCAAAAGTGCCTGAGCCGCCATTTGGCGCCGCGGGGGTCGGCACAACGAAGGTGCCCGTGACGGCCTTGTACGTGCCCTGGAGTAGAAACATGTTAGTTGATTGAGGAGGATGGTTGTGAAGGAAGACACCAACCGCGGGAGACTCGAACGACGCGCCAGCCCAGTTGGAGCTGAACTCGGCGTTGGTGACATTGCTGGCCAAGGCAGCCGGCCCAGTCGAGGGCTGCCGCGGGAACGACATGTGGGAGCCTGTGCGACGCGCGAGCCGGGCCTCGAGCCGGGGATTGGGGCGCGCGAGGGCGGCAGTGGCAAGGAGCACAGAAGCGAGGAGAGAGGTGAACATCGTAGCAGAAGTAACAAGTTCAATGAACAGGGGACCCGAGGACCTGGTCAAGTCGGAGATGCTTTCTCATTTTATATCGAGTTCGGCAGAAGGAAACGGTCTTATCGCAAGAGTTGTGAGAATCGGGATAGAAATGTCCAGACCGTATGCTAGGTTGCGGCGGCCACACGGCTCGGAAGTTCAGCGCTGGGTCTCCTGTCCAGTATGGCGCCAAAACCGGGTCGAATTAGACGACAGAAAGTTGAACACGGAGTTCCATTCATGATCCTCGGCGCCATGATTGTCGTGTCGATGCCCCAATGCTGCCATGTCCGCCGGTATACTCACAGTCGCGCCGAAAATAGTCGGTTATTTTTGGTGACAAGCTGTAAATAGGACCCAAGAAAACCACGCGCGTGAAGACGAGCTCGCGCGTTCGCCACGGCGCTCAAGCTGGGATGAGCTCACTATCCAGATACCGCTTGTCCGAGTTTCACGAGATGTAATGTCTTTGTTTCCAGTGGTGGATGGACACTAGGAACCGAGGAAATCTGCGCGGACAGCAACAGGGAGGCGGGGCCAGTGATTGGGCCCACAGCATAAGAACTAGTATGCCCCAGGACCAGCGTCGCAACGAGAGTTATCAGACACGAAACGAACCGTCTCTTGATTGCTCAGTGCTGCGTGAGGGAAAATCAGATACCAGAAAGGCTGACGGTTCCAGAGCGAGGATTGTAACGGTTTGCATCCCAAAGCCGATGAAGGTTGAGAAAGAGTCGGAGTGATGCGTCTTCGGCATTTCATCAATGGCCGGCCCTGAACCGCCGCAGTCGCTTCTATGGGTCGACCACATTGGCTGCTTCACGCCATCCTTCAAATCTCCCTGGCTGTCCTAGTCGTTTCAGACCAGCGCCCTCTCTATTTTGCGAATACAACGAGTCATCCTCCGAGGTCGGTGGGATGCAAACCAGATGGTTTCCTGGTTGATACTTAGTATCAGCGTAGCTGGAATGATTACGACGAAGGACTCTTTACACCTCTTGGGGATCTAGCCTCGCTGTCCGAAACTCAGTTCACTAGCCTCAAGCATCCTGTGTTTCCATCCCACGGCGTTCGAATCAAGAAGACTTCCAATTTCTGCGACAACACAGTACAGTAAGCAGCGTACAAACCGTTCGACCTCCGACAGCTCAAAACCCAGAGCATACACGGGCTATATTGATATCCAAGCTCGTCATATATTTTTCTACTTTTTCGAAAGTCGAAATGATCCAGACACCGACCCTGTTGTTTTCTGGACGAATGGAGGTGCGTCCAGACATTTGCAGCCTTTTGTTGGATGTCTTAGATTATCACAGGACCGGGTTGTTCATCGTCGCTTGGACTATTCATGGAACTAGGTCGGGTTCATCGGTGCTCAAACCTCGACCTATTCATTAATGATCCCTCAGGTCCCTGCAGAATTTCGGACGCTAATGGCACTTCTATGCATCCTGAAAGCTGGAACCAGGCATCAAACATTTTCTTTGTGGATCAACCTATCGGTGTTGGCTTTTCTTACGCGGAGTATGGCGAAACGGTCGTAAGTTACTTCACGTCGTGCAAGACTTTCGACCCATTGCCTTCAGAGCACCACGGAGGAAGCCGCCAAGGACATGGCCGCCTTTGTATTCATATTCTTCGAACACTTCACCAAATTCAAGAGTCGTCCTTTCCATATGGCGGGCGAGTCCTACGGAGTGGGTTCAGAAATCACATCTTGGATCACCCATGCTCAACCAAGTAAAGGGTCGTTATGTCCCCGTCTTTGCAGCCGAAGTGTACGACCAAAACATCAAACTAATCGACGCTGGGTTGACACCAATCAACCTCACTTCGGTTATGATCGGTATGCTGCCCTTCTCTCTCACTTTCTGTCCGTTGAATGTACTTACAGGAAACGGAATCACGGACTTTTATCACCAGATGTCGTCGGCGTTCGACATGCAGTGCACTGCGGCGTCAGTCCCGCCGATCCTGGACATTTCGTGAGTGTTCCTTTGTTAAGGATTGGGATGTTCTCAATGTTGGTCGTTCAGGACTTGCGTAAGAATGAAGCAGATCGTCCGTTACATTCTTCGAACAAGCTGGAGCTGTGCTCATCCTGTTTAGATTCCCCGTTGTCAAAAATGGATGAAAAAGTCCTGTCTGGATCACTTCGATGAAATAGACTGCGGGGCTGCAATGGCTTTCTGCGAAGGACAGCTTGAAGCCCCCTTTTGGGCGACAGGTTCGTTCACGAGACATACTTGCTCGCAGGGCTTATCGTTCGCATAGGCATGAATCCATACGACATTTCACGGGAATGCGACGGCGGATTGGGCGAAAATCTATGCTACCCCGTCACACAGTTCGCTTCCCTTTCTTCATCTACCTCTGACCTTTCGTATAACCTGTTTCCAGGTTCATACGAGCATACCTCGACCGGCCAGACGTGCGCTCCATGCTTGGCGTCGATCCTTCGATCACTGCCAACTTTTCGTCTTGCTCAAACGACGTTGGCTATGGCTTCGCCCGCAACCTTGATGGATACAAGAATACACAACATTATGTGGGCGCCCTACTTGAGCGCGGTGTCCGCGTTCTCATCTATGTCGGTACATACGACTGGATATGTAACTGGGTCGGAAATGAGCGCTGGACCCTGGCCATGGAGTGGAGTGGGCAAGACGAGTTTTCGCGGCAGGAGTTGAAACCGTGGGGCGTTGGGGAACCAAGCTCGCGAATTGGTTTGACTCGGAGCGCAAAGGGTTTGACTTTTGCGACTGTGGACGGAGCAGGACACATGGTATTTGTACGACCTCGATGCAAATTGAAGATTAATGATTTTGCAGGTTCCTTACGACAAACCCAAAGAGTCCTTGGAGCTCCTTCGGCGTTGGCTCAAGGGTCGAGACTTTTAGATTTCCGTCGGGCGGTTCCTACGTAGAATGGCGGTGTAGGCAGACATAAAATCGGTTCCCATATTCTTCCGCCTGTACGCGTTGATCGAATCGCTTGCTTCACCGGTTCCCATTTCCCATTTTCCTCGTATTTGCTTTGGACGTCTGCTTTGCTGCGTTGGACGTGGTGGTCTGTAGCAAGAATCCGGGATATCCAGAGAGATTCCACATCCAAAGCACTGCCCAGATTCCGGAATCGTGGCAGGAGAGGGTAGAGGCAAGCCGGCCAATTCCTTTGAGAGCGGGGAAACATACGGTCATGTTAGAAGAGGTCCTTCGTCGTCGAGGCCGTTGAGAACAGAGCTCGGGTGTTGCA